GGAGGAAATGGGAGGAGGGAGGACATAGACAATAATAAGATCATGCGGTTATGTAGATCAGCTACGTGTACAACTTGATGGTTGCAAATTGTTTGAATTTAAAAAAAAAATCAACTTCTCTGACTGCCGTCCAACCTAACCACTCTTATTTGGCTGATTTCTAGAGAAAGAGAGAGAAGTTGGACCACAATAGTAAAGTATACAAATCTCTTATAGGGTAGAACAGAATTCTTTGGTTCATCATTACATGTGTGTGTGAAATTCTATCAGTTCAACTCCAATAGTGAGGAACAAGATCTGTGCTTTATCACTGTAGCAGCATTCCTGGTTAAATTCAAACATGTTATTGCAACTTCCTCAGTTAATAAGGTTTGTTAACTAAAAACAGGTGGAAAATGAAGACATACGGGAACACTACAGAGGAAACCCTGTTTATACAAAATACATTGCAGACAATGCTTAAAGACCAATTCACATATATCAAACTATGAACCCTTTAATGCAGCCATGGGTAATGAAACCAATTAAGTGTTAGTTGCACATGTTAAAGCTGCCTCCTAGGCAAAGTTCACATGCTCAAATCCTGCAACATTTTAAAAATAAAGAATTTAAACCAAAAAACCAACACTGAAGTGAAATTTTGTCATGGATCAAAAACTGGCTAAGAATCAGGGAACAAAACCATGGGAATAGTTTTCAACTTTGTGAACAGCAGGGACCATCATGGGTCCAGACTATGTCTGGTGGGCTACATCTAGACTGGCATGATTTTCTGCAAATGCTTTTAACGGAAAAGTTTTTCCGTTAAAAGCATTTGTTGAAAAGAGCGTCTAGATTGGCATGGATGCTTTTCCGCAAAAGCACTTTTTGAGGAAAAGCGTCCGTGCCAATCTAGACGCGGTTTTGCGCAAGAAAGCCCTTTTTCGCCATTTTCGCCATTGGGGCTTTTTTGCGCAAAACAATACCGCGTTGTTTACACTGGCCCTCTTGCGCAAAAGCATTTGTGTAAGAGGGCTTTTGCCCGAACGGGAGCAGCATAGTATTTCCACAAGAACACTGACAATCTTACATGAGATCGTCAGTGTTCTTGCGGAAATTCAAGTGGCCAGCGTAGATAGCTGGCAAGTTTTTCCAGTCTAGACGCAGCAGTGCTGTTTAATGTATTTATTAGTAATCTGGAAAATGGGTGAGCACTGAGGTAGGTGAGACAAAGTTATTTGGGTTAGTGATGTCCATATATGACTAAAGTACTTCAGGCAGATCTAACTAAGCTAGGTGAATGGGCAACATGATGGTAGATGACATTTGATGTTGGTAAGTGTGAGATAATGCACATTGGATGAGAAAAATGGAATTACACCTTACATCTGACAAGGATCTAAAACAATGATATCAACACAGAAAAGATGCCTGGTAAAATCTGTGAACAGCTCAATAAAGATTTTGCCGTACAAAAAGCAATCAAAATATAAAAATGGATTAGGATTGGTATGAGGAACAATAAAGAAAAAACAATAATGCCATATTGCAAATCAATGGGATAGCCTAATCTGGAATATTAGCCACTGCGTCATCAAAACAGACACTGTAGAATTAGAAGAGATTCAGTGAAGGGCAACAAGAATGAGTAGGAAGATCGAAAGCTCTCATCTGAAGAGAGATTGAAAAAATGAAATTGTTTAATTTAGCACATAGTCAAACATGAGAAGGTTTGATTAAAGTATATAAAATAACTAATGACATAGGGAAAGTTGATCGGGGCTGTTTCCTCTGTCTCATAATGAGGATTAAAATGGTATTAATTTAAATTTAAAAGGTGACGAATGAACACTGGTAAAAGAAATATTTCTTCCCACATAAGGTGTAATTATATTGTGTAACTTATTGTCACAGGAGGCCATGTAGGCCTATAAAATTTAAAAAGGATTAGACAATGAATGAAATGGTTTGGAAGAATATTCAAAGTTGAAATAGCTAATACTAACAAAATCTTGGAACATATAAAATCTTATGCCTCAGAAATTAAGAAAATTGCCAGATCTACTAGGGATTAAGATGAGATATTTAAGATTTTTGCCCACTGGAAGGTTTCTTGTACCTTTCTTTGGATTATCTAGTGCTGCAAACTGTTGGAGACAAGATGCTGGACTACATGGACCGTGGTACTGACGCACTATAGCAATTCCCATGTTTATATACAGGATATTGTGATAGGGTTTGTGTATGGGTGCCTCAAATTTTGTTCCCTTTTGTGCCCACAAACCTTTGGTGTAATCATCTGTGCCCTTCCTCTCTGGTCCTTTCCCAGGTGGGGTTTCCCCCACTTTCCTACCCAACTCTTTGGTCCTCCCTCTCAATAACATCTGCCTCCTTATACTCTTCTGTTAACTTGACTGCTGCATCCACCATGTCAGGCTGGTGGTGTCTGATCCACCCTCATGCAGATATTTTCAGAAAGAGCATACAAAAATTGTTCAAGGACAAGGGTGTACATTATTTCTCCCACTATTGTGGATTGGGCCTCAGGCAGTGAGTTGCCCAGTCCACTAGCCTCTAGGTAAATACCTTGGACTGCACCGCCTCCATCCATCAGGCTGCTCAAATCTTTTGCCAAATATATCCAACAGGTCCACCCAGTCTAAAACGGCTGCCCTCACCGGCTCATAGTTCTGGGCCTATTCACTGCTCAAGGTCAGATGGGCCGTTTGAGCCTCTCCTCCTAGGTATGGAGCCAAGCATAGGCCCCAGGTTTCTCTTCCCCCTTCTGGTGTCCATGGCTACTCCCTTGAATGTCTCTAGGAAAGCATCTGCCAGGCCCATTTTACAGAGTGCTATGTCTGGCGGACAGGTGCCATCCCCTCCCATGCGACTCACCACTTATTCCTGGAGTTGCTGCTGCATGCTGCTGTGTTCATTCAAAGTCTCGCAGGTTTTGCTGTTGCTTTGTCTGCCAGGATAATAAGGCCCCAGACAAACCCCCATGACATGTCACAGGGTTCACACTTGGGCGTCTTGACCTTTGGCTCCTTTTGTGCCCACAAACCAGCCAAAGAGCTCTCCCTTGGAGCAATCACCCCTGCCCTTTATTGTCAGTGTCAGTTCCTGCTACCTTCTATGTACAGAGGGTCAGGGACTGCTAGCTTCTCTAGCTAGCTGGGGAGCACAGCTTTTCACTCCCTGACTCTTCCCTTTCCTCTCTCTGCTTTCTTACTTCCTGTCAGCCTTATATATCCCTATGGTTAATGAGATCCATGGCTGTTCCCCATTTACTCGTCAGGTGTGGGCTTCCTCAGCTAGCTTCAATTACCCTGTCCTGCTGGAGCTGGCATGACAGAGTCTGGCTCGTGCTTTCTAGCTAGCAGCCTGTTACAGGTATATACACTCTATCTTGCCACAGATACAGTGCAAATTTGAACAACACATGGAGTGGTTAGATGTTGATTCAGAAGTCAGTATTTTGTATATGGATAAACTGAATTAATGGAGGCAGAAGAGAGGGTGGCGGCTTCTCTTTTCCCAGTCTTGACATGTTTTGAAGGCAGAGGTACTAATTTCAATGATTAAGTGAAGATATAAACTCACAATGATGGAGGTGAGCCAATGGAATGTGGGATGGTAAACAATCTCTTAGGGCAAGCTTTTAGGGTGACTGAACTATGTGTGTTCAAATGTGTGGCTGCCCAGGAGCAGGGATGTGATACTAGAAGTTGGGATCTAGTAGTTCCATGTTTGTATGCTAAGAAATGAAGCGGGTTAATTTGCAAGGAACTTATTGTTTCTTGGTCTGTAATTTGCCAAATACTACTCTGCTGCTATAGTCCTTTTTTCTGCATTTCTGTGGCAAATTTCTCAATGCAGAAACACAAGGTACTTTTAACAGAAAGATAAATCCTCTTTACTGTAGAAAAAAATTGTAATGAGTAACCTTTGTTAGCTTGCCTTTAAAGATACTATAATGGGCAGCTTGTTCCTTGCTTAGTTCTCCATCTTTACACAAAAGCTGCTAAGAAATAAGCCATTGCATTCACCCATGGAAGTTCCAGTGTTGATCTTTTCATTTGCTTTCCCCCAGTTAAATAATAAATAAGGAAACAATCAACTTAAATACAAATGTTAATTGAGTGTGTAATTTCTAAACCAAATGTTAGACAGACAAAATGTTAGCGCTGACTGAAAATGCAGGATGTGCTAATGACTTCATAAATCATACTTTTCAATAATTCTAATTTATTTATATATGAAATTAGCCATCCAATTAATATTGCTGTTTTCTGCTAAAATATTGTTGAAATCAGATATTACCCTAAGTACCTACTTGAGAAATACATATGGCATCCACATGTGTACAAGAGTGAGTTCATTAATACCAGTGCTTTTCTAAAGGTTGATGGTGATGAACACTTGTATGCCCTGTTCCTAAACAATGCTGCAATCAGGAATGAAGCTGTTCTCCAGGGTGTTATGTCGATAAACATTTGCATAATGGGCACTTCTATTTTACTTATTTTGATTAATGCAAACAAGATGACATAGGAAATAAAGGTGAACTTTGTTGCTACTCTTTTACTAAACATCCCATGGGGCCCTATTTTACCATAAAATGTGGAGGAGTTTTTGAAAATTCTGTACATATTTTAAATTGGAACCTACTTTAAAATGACAAATAGGGGGTATTACATAGTAATAGAGCATTCCATTTTAGCGTAAAATGCACATAATTATAGCAATTTTTGGCTTTGCCGTTTAGCAGTAATAGAGGTCTGTACCTTTTACAGACTAACTTGTATATTTATGTACCATGGAATTATTTGTGTTAACATTGGTTTCTATTACACTGTAAAATACACTACGCATTTATACTTAACCCTAAGTTAAAAGTGGAACTTCTTATAGGCATGGAATATTATATTTTGATCTTAATTAAAAAACATATTCTTCATACATCGAGTAAATATAATAACCATAAATGAATAAAATAGGTCAACAAATAGCTTTCTTACCAATGGTCGGAGCTCTGGATGAGTCAAAATGTATCCATTGTTTGTAATCGCAAAAGCATATCCATGAATACCTAACTGTAAGAATAAATCCAAAAGGAGCATTAATTAACTTGGTCTTCAGTGAATTCTGAAACAAAAAAGCAGCCAAATATTTAGTCATGTATGGCTTACACTTGGCATTCATAACTCATATCTCAATGCAATATTTCATTAAAATTAATGCAAAGAGCCAATCCTTGATATTTTGTGAACTTGGTAAACAGCACAATTTTAAAATGTCACACATATTTTGCTATCTTGGATACTTATTCTTATGTACTTGATGTGAACTTTAAAAAATTGATTATAAAGAAAACCATAAGAATTGTGATGTAATACACTATGTGCTAACATATGAAGAATTATTGGAATTTAGTAAACTCACAAATACACCGGGGGTGTGGGCCAGGTTCTGCCTTCTTATTTGTGAAATGGGTGCATTACATCAATGGAACCATTGAAGTCAATGGGACAGCTCCCATGAGTAAGCTGAACAAGAAGTGGCCTATTATCAGTGATATTTACATAGAACAGTCTTGATTCTACTTCATTTCCAAATTATTTCACGTTTACTTTTGTATACACAGGACAGGGGTTAATTCAAATGCAGAAATTCATGTAATTTACATTTTTGGACTTAACAAGACTGTGGAAACTCATCTGAGAGCAATGAAATGTTTCATTAGGCCCACAAGTAAAAAGTGATCAAAGTTAGCACTGCATTTATTTAAATAACAATCCTACCAATTGACAATATTCCAATTACACAGTTGGCTGCAACCACCGACTATAATAAATGTACTTTCAAATCAATGATATGGTCATTAAGACATCCCTCTGCATAAACTTGACACTGAAACAGTATCTTTCTAAAGGTGCTATGCATACCGGAATTTTTCTCCCATAAAGATTTGCATATAGATTTAGATATCAATCATTATCTTTTCCTCTGAATTATTTTAGTTTTGAAACACTGTAACATAACATTTTTCTGTAAAATTATCCTATGTGTCATATAATAAAAGAATGCGCTTGTGTTTAAATACTTATATACACTTCAGTGCCTTCTAAACTAGAAGTGCCCTGGTTTGTCAATTAGCTTATATTTCTTGTTATTAGACTACATTTTATAAAAACTACTATGCCACATTACAGCCCTGTTTCAGCAAATGATCCATCTTCAACAATGCACATACATAAATGTTTTGTTGAATGGGATCCTAGTACAAAATGATCTGGATAGATATGTTAACAAGTCAAAAGTAGAGCCACTTCTGACAGAGATAACTAGAAAGGCTAGTCTGAAGATTTCTGTAATTAACTTGAAAGATAAAACTCACGGTGTTACTATAGCTAGATCAGAGAGATCTCCTATCTGATTGAGATTTATATTGTATTTTGCTCAGAATTATCAGATACGTATTCAACTCATATTCTTTCTCTATTTAGAGAGAAAGTTACTTCATTAATTAGCAACAGCAATAAGCTCTACTAAAGAGTAATAAAATGTGGTAGGCTTTTAACATCTCTTTGTAAAAGAAAAAGAAAACAATTTTGGACATATTTTACCTTTGGTATGTGAACTTGCATCTGGCTAAATATCAGATCTCAAGTATAATTATCTATGTGGCAAATAAAAGCAGAAAAACATCTAAACAATTAAAGTTGGGTAATGAAATAAATGTGGGTGGAATACATCCTAGAAACAATATTTATTTGTTTGAAGTGCTCTGTGCCTTCAAATGTGGCTCTTTGTCATGGTTTGTGCAGTGCTTGAAGTTGTACGTTTGCATTTAAAATGTTTCTTCTGTTTTCAGAGACAGTGCTGCTGCCACTAATATTATACATTAGAAATATTGGGACTCTCTCTTAAACTGATAGATTATTTCAAAAGGGAGGAAACTGTGTGACCACTGAAAAGTGACATGTAAGAATGAAATATTAATGAATCACACTCCACTGTCTTCATTCAGGACAAGTCCCCACTGAAAAAAAAATTCAAGCTTTGTCTGAGTAAGGACTGCTGTTAACAGCTCTTTGTTATTGTACATCTCTCACTGTCTAAAGGCCATTTCATTCAGTCTAAGACCATGTCTATACTGCACACTTGTTTTCAAATAACTCATGTTATTTCAAAATAGAGTGCACATCTACACAGCAAGCCCATTATTTCAAAATAATTTTGAAATAATGAGCTCGTTACTCCAACTTCTGTAACCCTCATTTCACAAGTAGTAAGGGAACTCAGACCTTCTTAGGTCCTTACAGCCAAGCTATCAGAGGGGTGGCTGTATTAGTCGGTATCCACAAAAACAACGAGAAGTCCTGTGGTAACTTAAAGACTAACAGATTCATTTGCGCATAAGGTTCCACGGGCAAAATCCCATTTTGTCAGAGGCAACAAGACTACTCATGGTTTATCTCCAAGCTATGATAAACTCTTTCAGGTTCTTTCTATGTAATATTGCTAAGGTATGGTTTTTTGTATTCAGCCATATAGCTAAAACTCTCATCCAGGTTCTCTTGATCTCAAGTACTACAACATCCTTCTCTTGAGTCTTGGTAAGTATAACGTTGCTCCACTCATATCTATTCAGAATGCGGTTGCAAAGATACTTTTCCTAGATCATTATTTTTACCCCATGATTCCTCTTTGTGTGCCTCCATTAGCTTCCTCTTCCCTACTGTAACAGACAAAAGCTACTCGTCTTTGATTTGAATGTCCACCAGGTTCAGGGTCTATCCCCCACTCACCTCTCACTTCTTATTCACTACTGAGATGTCATTTCCTGCTTCTGATCAGTCCATGCCATCAGCCTCTACAGTCCATTTTTGTCAACTTTAAACAAGCACTGTTGTGCATTCTCTCATGCTGCCTCTTGTGCTTGGGACGAACTCTCCATAAATTTCAGCAAAGCTACCTTGCTACCATCCTTCAAAACGCCCCTCAATACTCTTCTTTCTTGTGATGCCTAAAAACACTAAATGCCTATCATGTGGACCAATATTGTCTCAGGGCATATTTACACTTAAAGCACTACAGTGGCACAGCTATATTATAGCCACTGCCACACTGTAACACTTAAGTGCAGACACGACCTAAGCTGTAGGAGGGCTTCCCCCATCAGTGTAAGTAATCTACCTTCCCAAGAGGCGGTAGCTAGGATTTCTTATACTGACCTGGCTACACTGGATGTGGATTTTTCATACCTCTGAGACACATAGATATACTGTAATATATTCCAAGTATAGATTATGCCTCATCATTTCCTGAGCTCCCATAAATGTCATCTTGTTGTATCATTAGCAAACCATTTATGTTCCATAATTGCTACTGTCTCTCAGCAAAAGTGGCCAGAGAGAGGGGTGTTGGCAAGTGTAGTGAAAATGGGATGCAGCACCTACTATTTAGTTATAATGAAATTAACTGTTGAAGTTGGTATCTGAGGTTCTCTAGCTTGGTGCCTTACTAGAATGGTCTCCTAATCAAATAATGTCTGCTTTCCCACTAGAAAAATGGATTTAAGTGATCGTCTGAGACCCTGGTAGCATGGTTGAGAATCAGATAAGTGAGAAGGTGCTGAATAATCTCAATACAACTTAACTGATACCTACAGTATTTCTGGTATTCACATTGTGGGCCTCTCTCAAACAGAGACTTATGGTATCAAAATATTTGGGTATTGAGCTACCAAAAATCTTCTATTAGCAATTATGTTGAAACCATTATATTAATGTTCATGTGTTACTTATAACATAGATTATAATTTAGTCTAGTATATATCTGAGAGAGTCTGACTGTCTGTTCAGCTGTCTGTGTCTCTGTTCAAGAACTCCTCCAAAACAATAAGAGCTAGGTCCACCAAATTTGGTATGCAGCTTTGTCTCATCATAACTTGAAGCAAGGTAAGGATTTGGTTGTGCCAGAACAATGGGGATGTTCTGGGAATGTGATTTTTTTTCTCATAAAACAGAAAGGAGAGGCTCTGCTAGCAGGGACAATTATACAGTATAACAAACACAGGGGGCAGCAAGGGACCAGAGATGGGGACTGGGATAAATATGATCCCACTGTGGCAACAGGGGTCAGAGGTGGAGTAAGGGACCGCCAGCTATTATATATTTCACAGAGTTTGTCTATTTGTGTCTGTCTGTTCCCCAGCCAGGGGTCATGCACACCTCTGCTGGCTATGCCTGCTGCAGCAGCCATGGACAGGCACTTCTGACCTGGTTCCAAGCTGCTGTGGTGAGAGAGGACTGAAGATGTCCTCTCTCCCCAGAGTAGCCTGAATATTGAACCCCATATCCTCTGTTCCACCCCAGAGCAATTATTTAAATGAAGAAAAAAAAATTATTTGAGTTAAGGACCAAATAATATTTCTAGTGAAATAATAAAATATTGGATCAAGCCTATATAAAAAGTAGCACCACTTTTTCATTCATCAATAAGTTATTTTTACCAAGCTACAAATGATTCATGATTGCCAAGTTTATTTTGCTTGGTTGATTTTATTCATAGTACTTTTTAAAGTGTCATCTACAAATCTGGAAAACTAAATATTTGAGAAAAATGAGGAGTCCTGTCGCACATTAGAGAAAAACAGATTTGTTATGGCATAAGCTTTTGTGGATAAAACTCGCTTCATCAGATGAATTGAAGTGGAAATTACAGAGACAGAGGTATATATACAAGAAAAGAAGGAAGTTTACTTATCAAGTATAAAACCTGTGTTAATGAAGCCAATTAAGTCAGAGTGGATGTGACTCACTCATAGCAGCTGATGAGGAGATGTGAAAACCAAGAGAGGGGAAATTCCCTTTTAGTGAGATAACCAGTCTATATCCTTATTCAGTCCTAATTGGATTGTACTGAATTTGCAAATGAATTGCAGTTTTGTTTTTTCCATTTGTAATCCAATTTTGAAGTTTTTTTGCAGAACGATGGCTACTTTTAAATCCATTACTCAATGTCCAAGGATGTTGAAGTGTTCTCCTACAGTTTTATATATGTTACCTTTCTTGATGTCTGATTTGTGTCCATTTATCCTTTGGTGCAGAGACTGTCTGCTTTGGCCATTTTCCTAGGGAAAATGCCTGCACTTCTCGGCTCTCCACCAGAGATAGGAGACCTAACTTCTTTGCTGCCCTGCCCTGAGTTAAGGCCTGGGTACATTAACTATTTAAATGCTTGACCTGAGCATAGGCCTGAGCTCCTGAACTCTTTGCTGCCCAATCCCAGTCCAGGGCCTGGGCTAACTGACTGTGTTTGAGGTATGGCCCCAACCAGAGACCCAAAACGCAATACACCAATTGTCCTACTGATTCCTACTGACCAGCACATGAGTAGGATATAGTAAAGCAGAGATAATGCCCTCAGACCCAGATGGGGAGGAGCCATGCCCCAACCAGATAACACAAGGACACAGGAGATTTCAGGTCAAGGAGTTCTGAGGAGAAGGGAATTATGAAAGGAAAGTTAAAGATGAACTGTGCACATCTTTGTCTGGCTTCCATTTACAAGGATATGCAGTCCTCCAGTGTCATTATCTGGTTAGTTTACGTATGTCATATTATGTAGCATGGCATTTTGACAATTAGTTTATTAAAGGCAGCAATAATGAACACTATATCTAATTAACATTATATCCTGATAGAGGGCACTATGAAATCATACAAAAGCCAGAATGTTGCACACTGACTAATAGAAATCTGGACCTGATTGGTGAGGGTTTAAGAGAGTTAGGACTTCTCTGGTCAGTTAGTCTTAATGGAGTTACTAAGGACTGACGAGTAGAAGTGTATACAGCATATGTCCCTGGGATCCCATTTCTGATTCGCTCACTAACTTGGATATGTAAATTAGGTGCTGCATATCTTCCAAAAATACATCTAAAATATTATTGTTAATTCAATCCTGTATTCTAAATATACTGACCATGTAATCATGTGAAAATTACCTTATATTTTGGAATGGCCTTTAGAAGTTCTTTAACTGGAACATCTGTGCCCACTACTCCTAGAAGAATCCCCTTGGATCGCTGAAAAAGAAAATGCAGACCACTCAGAAGAACAAACAATCACTGTTGAAACAACACATGCCATTAATAATTATTTTCATACTGTAAAAATTGTACTGAGGAGTAAAGATCGTAACCTAATCTGCCAACTACTTAAAAAGTTAATAGGAGGATGCAGCTAATCTGGCTGGCCACACACAACACCACACTCTCAGCAGTTGGCCTCTTTTTCTTAGCCTGAAAATGAAATCTAGGAAGTATGTAAAGTTTCAGCAGATAAGGAAGGTCTCCCTCAATTAAATTCTTCTACCTGTGAAGCAGTTTTAAGATGAAATGCTACAGATAAAAATGTGCCTTTTCTTCTTCCTGTCCAATTTTCACTGCCATCTGATACCCAAGAGAGAAAAATTAAACATTATGGGAGAAATAAATGTAATTATCTTTAATAATATGGTAAGATGTTAAAATAACAAGTCTGTAAAATACAGCTATTCAAACCACCTATATGACCATTGATAATGTGCTGGATCTGAAATAAGCAAGTTAGACAGGATGAGAAAATGTATATAAATTATTTGCTATAACAAAGCTAATGTCTAAGTAATGAGACACATGGGACTAATACCACAGTATCAAATTCAGCATCTAGGACTTTGTCTTCACCATAACACCGTTAACCTTTTATTTTGAGAACTGCAGTTTCTGCATTTTATTTGTGCATAAATACATTATCTGTTTAATTTATTATAGCAATAGGTTCAAGTGGCGAAATAAATAATAATAAAAAGTTCAGCAAGTTATTACATTTTGTAGCAGACACCAAAGTATCACATGGTAGAAACACGGTTTGAGTACTTACAGTCTCATTTTGCTTACTAAACACTGGCATGGCAACAGTGGTCATCAAAACCAATCCCTGATCATCAGCAAGCTATATTAGAAAAGAAAAAGACATTACCAGTAAGCTACTTCAGTCCATGGTTAAATCATAATTATAGAAGCACCCAAATACATTTTCTTCTTTTTAAATGAGGTCATGCATTTCACGTAAATGAGTTTTGCAACTCTAAAATTTCAGTTTAGCCCAGCCCCAAACCATCTTTGCCACATAGGCACACTGCACATGAACTTTGCCAGTCAGGAGGGTTAGCTGTCCAGGGTACCTCTGCTGTGTCTCTGAAGAGAGATACCAGGGGGCTAAAATGAGGGCTGGAGAAGCAGTATGTGCACTAGCTAAGCAGGTGGAGTTCTCTTTTCTTCCTCTTTCCCATTGGCAGATCTGCCATGATTGCCTCAGACTAAGATAATGGGTTGAGTCAATTTGTCTTAGGTTCAGACTCAGAATTCTCATCAGCTTGCATAGCAGTAGTGGAACAATGCCAGTCAGGATTCCAGGAACCCCTTTTGGTGCCTTTATATCCAGCAGGTTTAAGTTTGTTGGACCAGTTGGTGGCATCAAACACTGGCTGGTTCTGTATCTCAGATTTTAACATGTTTCTTCAATTTAGGGAGAGACCAGGCCTCCTTAATTTTGGCCTATTCAGGATGAACCCATGAAACAATTGATCATCATTGACCAAAGGAGAGTGGGATTACTTGGAAAATTGTGTCTTTGCACCTTACCATTTTTCCCTTTTCACAGCATCTTGGTTACAAGACAAATGACATGGGCAGGGGGGAAGGAAGGAAGGGCAGGCATAAATGACAGCGATTCCTCAGAATGGACTGACACCACTCTTGACACCCTGAAGATTTTTAGGCACTTGCTCATTCTCATATAAAAGGAAGTACAAGTTACTATTTAAAGCAGCCTTTCAATGCAGCGTTGTTGTTTTTTTGGGGGGGGGGGGGTGGATTTAAATTAGGTAAAATTATCCCAGCTGTCAAGGGCATCAACCTTTCAAGTACAATGAGGACTTAAGGTTTGTCTGTGGGGCCCAGACAGACTGAGCTGTCCATATAATTTTCTAAAAGGAGGGAGTAAGGAAGCTGATCACTCAGAGGAAACTCTTGGGGTAGCTGCATACCCCATTGCAGTTGTGTGAACTACATACAAAACCTCCATCCAATCCCCACATTGCTACTACTGTATTGCAGGGGAGGGCAAATGTTAGTCCAGGGGCTGGATCTGGTCTGCCAGAGTTAGTCTCTGGTGGGTCCCCACACCGCCATATTTACCTGCTCCTCTGCAGGTATGGGGGATCACAGTTCCTGTTGGCCGCAGATCGCCATTTCCAGCCAATGGGAGCTGCAATTGCCAGTGCCTGCAGAGGTGCAGGTAAATATAGCAGCAATGGCCCACCAGGAACTAACTCTGGTGAACTGCCGCTTCTTTATTGCCCACCCCTGCTCTATCAGGACACATCCTCTAACTAAATTTCAGATCAGGGCCAAATTTTGGAGAATGTTGGCACATTTTAGTTTGCACACCCAGTATCTTTTGAGCACAATCCTTTTCTTATAGGAGCTGCCATGACTATTGCCTGCTCAGATTTTCAGAATGTAGACGTCACAGTCATTGGTGGCCAGGTCATTTAAAGAGGTACATTAGGAACTAATATATTTGACTGTTGAGCTCTTTAACATTTAAGTTCTTTTCATTTCCAGTGAGTTGTATGGCCTCCACTCTCCCAAACAGACCTATATCATGGGACACAGAATTATCCTCTGCATACTCAGAGCTGCCAGCTAGTCAATGGGAATGCAAATAGGTTTCATGACTGAGAAGGTTCGTATCAGATGGGAGATACAGAAGAATGTGGAGAAGGGATCACCACATGGTCTGTTTTTTTAGAGATGCTTACCAGCACCTAATGTGATCCTTGTCCTATTGATCAGCAATGATTTAAGTAGATAAAGTGGGGAGGAGCGGAATCTGGGATGGTAGCCAGAATCAACTGTGATTGTACCAGTCTAAGAATGTATTCTCCTTAGCTAGAGTAGTATGGTTTAGCACAGCAATGGGCAACTTAGGCTAGTGAGTGGGCTGCCTGAGTAGCCCTCCTCCATCTCAGTGGGCCGCAAGATTGTCGTAACCAGGACGGTCTCCAAGGATAGGGTAGTTTTGTTAACTGCACTTGCATACATAGAATTTGCGGAGCATGCCAACTGAACCATGGCAGTACTTTGATTGGATGCAAAGGGAGCACACGGTTCTCACAGTCAATGTTATGTGCAATCAGCACTCGCCTCACTTCACATGTCCTTGTTGTACATGTGTCACTTTAGTAATTCCGGTAGGGAAAAAAAACAACATGGAAGAAAACCAGCATAATTTTGCAACGCTGTGTCTGGGCAACAGTAAACGAAATGTCTCACAGGCCACATATAGAGCATCGATGGGCTGCGTATGGCCCTCAGGCTACAGGTTGCCCAACACTGTTCTAGCATGCAGAAATGGTGGGTATGGAGGAAAGCCTCTTGGGCATCACAATAAACAAGGCCAGAACAAATGTAAATCAAGACATGAAAAAGCATTCCACTGATTATGGGGTGACATCTTGGAGATTTTAGATGATTGCCCAGGGCTACTCAGCTCTGACTTTGTGTATTTGTCAGGCATCCATTAGAACATTTTTATTATGGACATCCAATTCAGCCTTAAGGGATAGGTGAGAACAATTTGCTTGGTGGGATGACAACTATGCAACTGATATCTGGTGGGTTTTGCCACCTTTATAGTGGGGTAAGACAAAAATCAGAGCAGAGTTTGGCTGCAAGCTTTGGGGAAAGGGATCACTAACATCAAGAATTTACTATGGAAGCACAGGGACAATCAATGTCCCGTACTGGTGATATCCACTGGCAGAGATTGCTGCGGGTTTCCTAGTAGTTGCTGTAACCTTTTTATGAGGTTAATAGCTTGGGCTTATGATTCAGATTTACTGCTCAGGACTGGGTGGGAAGATGGTTTCAGATGGACAGCTGACCACTGCCATAATCTTTGGGTCATGAAATGACTGGATCAAAGACATCAACTACAATCATTTCCTGTAAAGACCACATTTCACCCTTCATTAATTATTTTTAATTAAATATTATTTCTTTGTATTAAATGAGAATGTTTCAGAAAATTAATTCGATTGTGAGGAGTTTTGCTTGGGTCATTCCCTGGGCAATGATGTTTTAGTGGAAATACTTTGAAATAGTAGAATGGTAGTCACTGGGTATTTCCATAAGCATCCATTGTGAGACAATTAACACACAAACAGGTAAGTAAACTACAAAGTAAGCCATGATCTAGGAATTTTCCATGAATATTAAATCTTTTAAGCTCATTTCATATTAAAAATATAGTACTATATGGTGACTGCTGAAAAACAATTATTGTTTGAACAAATTTGGTGAGAATTAAAAATGAATAATGTATCCTTTTACCAATCATTAAACTAAACTTTGTCCTACATTTATCATAACTGGAACCAATGTACACCACTGTTATCTAAAAAAACAAGCTAGGATTCTTTATGTTCTACTGTAAAAGGGAGCAAATACTTAATTAGAATTTCATGGGTAAAATATCTTCCTGTGTCACAAATGTAAGAATTCAGAGAGCGCCAACTCTTAAACCAAAATGTAGTTATATCTTTAATGAAATGTTATTTGTTTAAAAACTCAAAGACTACAGTATCATTGCTAATAGATACGTAGTTGCTCAAATTTTCAAAATCATTTTCCGATGGTATAGACAAAAACTGACAACTTCCAACTTCTTCAACATGTCCCATGTTCAGAAATAAGCTATGCATGCATGGCAATAAATAAATCAAGCATGTAAACTTCCATTACAAAACTACACAGCTGTCCTTTCTTTGGGATTTCTGAAGAAATTTCAATTCCTAAGACGTGTCATGTGAGAAACAAACTGAAATATGGGCAAATGTGCTTTTTTACTATACCATATGATACAATATGTTTCCATGCAAACAATAAATGGCAGCTTATTCAAAAATATAAAGGAGAAAAATTATTTAAATTATTATAGACAATATATTGAAAGGCATTTATCGACTAATGCAATTTTCAGTTCTATGGAGTTTGACTCTCTCTAACTCGGCACCCTCAGGACCTGACCAGTGCCAACCAGAGAATTTGCCAAACCACAGGAGATCAATATTGTCTAGCAGCATTACCAAACTTCTACTGCTTTAGCCAGACCCATGATAATCGGACATCAGGCTAACTAAAATCATTCCAGACCATGGATGTTGCCAAAACAGATAGTTCCAGACTAGAGTGGTCCAAACTGTACCATGGAGCACCTTGGAAATGAATCTGTGTGTGTGTGTGTGTGTGTGTGTGTGCGCGCAAATGAATCTGTGTGTGTGTGTGTGTGTGTGCATGCGCACACACACACATATTGCCTACCCAAAGTAATACATACTGCCCATTACCGTATTTTGTAATGTTATATTTATCTAAATGTGCTAATTCAATGTATGTGTCTATTATAATAAATCCCACTTGGTTTGGGACTACTGAGATTTGCACGTTTAGAGAAATGCAAACCCACATTTTCTTTCATTGTATGCATGGCCAGGCCATTAAAAAGGTAATGTAAAATGTTGTTCATTGACCAAACTTTATTTACAAAGCAGAGAAAACAGGGCCTATGCCCACCAAAAACTTAGAACCTCAATCCAAATGATCAGATATTAAAACACTTTCTTTTCATCATGGCTTCCATCTCCAAGCAGGCCCTGCACCTCCCTGAACTTTCTCTGTTAGTTCAACTATACTCATTTTTCAATCCTGAATTAATCCTTTTAAGAATTTGGAGTCTAGATACTCAGGACCATGCTGCAATCTGTTTCTTAATCTTAGTTTCCCTGATGTCATTATGACAGTGGTTTGCAAACTTTTTGAGCTGAGCCCTCCCATTGACTTATAATTTTTGGTTGCATCTCCACTCCCAAACCCAAAGGACAAAAG